TGCTCTCATTAAGTGACAAAGAGCTCATGAATCTCTTTGCTTACGGCATGATGCTAGATGATCTAGATTGTACGTTATAATTTCTATTGTGAAAAAAAATCTGACTGCAATATTCATGATGTTTATTAGCTCTGATTTTAAAGAAGAGATACGATCTATAACAAGCCCTTTTACGCAACCACAACCGAAAGATTCTTTGGAGAAAAGGACAGAATGTTGTATAGACATTACAAGAGAGACCAAAAGTGATGCAGTCGTCAATTCAGCACCAAACATTGGAAGTAAAGTTCTCCTTTATGGAAAGCATATGGAGGTACGTTTGTTTCTTAAAAAGTTTTAAAGGGAGGGCTAGTGGAATATGTGCTAGGCTATCAAGTTCACTGGTCGTGTGCATTATGCCAAAGGAGAGTTCGTAAGCGTTGCCTTAAACTCACTAGTTGGTAAGAACAACGGATTGATCAAGGGTAAATAAAGTATTTTGACTCATGGGATCATGGTGCGCCCGAACGATATAATTTTTGCCGCCTAGATCTTTAATATAGATAGAAGTGTTCATAACATACGCTTGAGTTATGAATTACGAATTATTATATCGTCTTGCATCCCGTTTTCTCTTCAGGAAGCTCACATTTGAAAGTGAGGTAAAAGGTCAGTCATCCAACTAGTCGCATGAAATGCTACCGAAGAACTTGCGATCGGGTCGAAAATCGTAGATGTTTTAATGAATAATCGGTTAGACAACTCAAAACACCTCTTCAATAGTTACATATTATCCTATACTTTTTTTGCAACGTAATCCACAAAATTATTCATCAGATTGAACAATGCGATGAGCCTTCATTGTGCCTTTGCTACCTGCACGAGGTATGAGAAAAGTTGAGATCTATTCTTTTTTTCATTCAGCTTCGCACATGATTGTCTTAAACTTGAAATGTACTTTGGTGTGACGCAAAACAAGCAAAATCATAAACGTTGGCTATAAGGAGTTAATCATTCATTGTGTTCATTGCCTGACTTTGCAGCTAGGGCATGAGTGCCACTGGTACGGATCACCTGTGCACTTACTTACAGATCGACTTGCAGGTGGTGCTTTATTTATTTCAAATATGTGGTACAAACGCGAATTTGCGCATTTGACGGTCTTATTCTCACTAAACACTAAAAAATTATGAATGAAAAAGTGAAAACAGTTTCAAGTTCAGGAAGTTTATTATTGTTCAGGTGATGAGAACACGTTATCATCATATTTTATGATCCAATACCATCAAGAATAGTAGCCACGCGAGATGCCAGTTCCTCGTTGATTGCTTGGTCCGTTGAGGGTGTTTGAATCACTTTTTTCAGGTAAATGACGTAACTCCTGGCTGATGCAACCCCATATTTTTTATCGATTTCCTTAGCGGTCCTTCCAATCAATAAATCTTCAAAACTCACTTCATATTCAGCAAAATTGTGCTTTATGAGAAACTCTTGAGCACGTTCTGATAATGTAGGCACCTTGATGGGCTCCTCTCCACGCAACCAATGTCGCAAGCTTTCAAAATAGGAGCCGTCGACTCCACCTCGACTATAGACAGCAAAGTCCACACAATAATCCCAAAAATCTTTAACAAATACATGAGTATCTTCAAGTTAGTTCTTTTGGTCCTGCAAAGCAAATTGATAACTAAGTGTTAGCCAACGAATTTTAATTTAGGACCAAATGCATCGTGCACATATAAAATTGAACAATCTTGTCTGAAATGTAGTCGATCGGCTCCATTCCAGTCTTGTTCGTATTGCGAACAGCCGCTTTCGTTTCAGGCACAACAAGCCATGAGATCATAACTAGTGTAGTGAATTTCGACTTCTTCATGACATTCCAATTACAAAAAAAGTTGTTTCGCACAGTATCGTAAGGACAACACAAACAGTATGTTGCACCAACACATCTTGCTTTCTACGGCTTAAAGAATAGCATCTCTACTAATAACTATTCCAGATTTAAGATCTTTGATCAACTTTTCATTGGTCGTTTCAAGACTTGCGTCCCTTTGTCAGAAGATATTTGATTGCGTTTCTTTCTCTCGCCATGATCATCACTATTCGCCAAGCATATCGTACGTTGGGGTTGACAAGAGAAGCAAGTCCGGAAGAAGTAAAAAAGGCGTATCGAAAGCTGGCACTTCAATTTCATCCGGATAAGAATCCGGATCCAGCAGCGACTTCTAAATTTCAACAGATTTCGGCAGCATATAAGCTTATAGATGATTATTTGAATCGTAGTCACAAACAATTTCATCCAGATCTGTGCCCTGCAGACTTTGACGATTTCGACGAGGATTATCTGGGCTCGGACGACTTATTCAACATTCCTACGATGGAGGAAATGCTTGTAATGTTTGACGTGTTATTTGGATCTTCATCACAAAAAATTCGACGTCAGCACAAATCTAAAAAAGGCAATGGAGGAGTGCGAGTTCAAGTCCGACGCAAAGGTGGAAAGAGTGAATTACCTGGTCTGCTAAGTGACAAAGAGCTCATGAATCTCTTTGCTTACGGCATGATGCTAGACGATCTAGATACACCATTGTACGTTATAATTTTTGTTATGAAAAAATCTTACTGACTGCAATATTCATGATGTTAATCAGCTCCGATTCCAAAGAAGAGATGCGATCTATGACAAGCATTTTTACGCAGCCACAACCGAGAGATTCTTTGGAGAAAAGAACAGAATGTTGTATAGACATTACAAGTGAGACTAAAACTGATGCAGTTGTCAATCCAACACCAAAGATTGGAAGTAAAGTTCTTCTTTATGGAAAGCACATGGGGGTACGTTCGTGTTTGAGAAAGTTATAGGGAGGGCTAACGGAATATGTGCTAGGTTGTCAAGTTCACTGGTCGTGTGCATTATGCCAAAGGAGAGTTCGTAGGCGTTGCCTTAAGCTCACCAGTT